ATGAATGACTTTCCTGATTCTTATGTCCCCCTATATATTACTGAATTTCTAATACAATAATTTTGAATTATTTTTCAGACCTTTCATCAATTTCTTTTTCATTCAAATCTATTGATGGAGAATTATTGCATTTTCTTTCATATTCCTTATGTTCTTATGTTGACATCTGCACATCTGGTATAACGGTCACTTCTTCCAATTTTATGCATTGGTTTTCATAGGGAAAGACTTTGGCCTATAGATGAATCTATTTATAAGTGTTGGTCAATGGGCCACTTTGGCTTTGATTATGGATGGACTCGGTAGCGTGCTCTTCATATGATTTCTTCATGTTGCAGGAAAGTGGCGAATTAAAACAGGCAGATACCTATACCAACAATATAGGGGAAGGAACTTTTAATTGTTGGTGAGAACTCAGGTGCCTCAAGGCATGAAATGCTGAGTTCTGGGGAATAGTTGTTTTCCAAACTGTTTTATACCTTTTTTCTCTTCAGTTCAGTATCAGCTACAGGTCAACTATCAGCTACATCATTATAGCTACAGATGTTAGAAACCAAGGTATTGTTAGTGACAGAGTCTTTTTTTTGTTTGTTTTGCTTTTCATGGTTATTGTGGCTCATTGTAAAGTTTGTTCTTATCTTTAGAGGAAGAGTTCTTCTGCAGTTCCCTGCTGCTTTCTCAGGATCACTAAAAAACAGAACATTTATTTCTCCTTCCTCATTCAGCTATAATCAGTGCCAGTGGTGACCAGGGAGTTCCTCAGTGGTTTAGGCTGTGGTGAGGTTTCCTCAGGACAGGAACGCCAGGTAGGCCACTCCTTGGATCTCAGAGAGGGCAGCACTGGGTTGAACATGCTGGTCTTTGGGCTTATGTGTGCAATATGATAAGTAGGCAATGGTGGTATCAGTGCTAGGATGGCTGATCCTTGACCCCTAAGAGACTTTTTCAGAGACTGACAGTGGTAGTGACGTGCTGCTTGAGAAGAGGCTCCTCAGGGCCCCGGGTAACCTGTGTGACCTTGGTGATGGCAGGAATGGGGCTGCCCACAGATTGGGCTTCCAAGTTGCTTGTGCAGGTGCCAGTGATACAGGACAGGTGGCACCCAAGCCAGCTCAGCCAAGCTGGGCTGGAGGACCCACCACCTCTGCCTTGGCAGTGTTGGTGCAGTGGCAGCTGGCAGAAGAACCAGCGGGCTAGAGCCTAGGCAAGGGGGGGGAAGCCTCCTTGGTGTCTCTGTCCCTTTACACTTATGACTAAGGAATCCCCATTTCCTATGCCTAGGTCAATTTCATGTGAGTTTCCTAGGCCTCAATTCCGTGAATGGACTATGCCCATTCATTAATACATTCATTCACTTTGCCCCAGCCAAAGAGAGTGTGTCCATTCATTAATACATTCATTCTCCTTGCACCAGTGGAAGAGACTGTGTCCATTCATTTATACATTCATTCACCTTGCCCCAGAGGAAGAGACTGTGTCCATTCATTTCCTGGCATCATATAGAAGGAACCAATGCACCTATATATATAGACAAAGAGAGAGGAGAGAAAAAAATGGAGAGAGCTTTTCTCTCCCAACTAGGGTTTTCTCTCCCTACCAGAAACTTTAGTGTTTTTGTATTCTTTTCTGTAAATAAATTCTGTCTTGCCACTGATCTGTGGTCTGTGGATTTATTCTTCAAATCACTGAGATCAACAATCTGAAACTCCGGTATCAGATTTGGCGAGCCAGCCAGGAGACAAGACGAAATTCCGATATCACCAGCAGAGGTGGCAGTGGGGTGGTCAGGTCTATCCTTAGGCCCCTGTGAGGCATGCGTAGGTGCCAGCAGTGGTGGGCAGTCTGATTCTTAGGCTCCTGCATGATGTGTTTGGATGCTACTAGTGGCAGGTGGGGCCAACTTGTCTTTAGCCTCCCCCAATGGTGCACAGACACTAACTGCAGCAAGTGAGTGAAATTGATCCCAGGCCCTTGGATGATGCACACAGGCACTGGTGGGAGGCAGGGTGCAGAGTCCAGGCCGGGTGTATCTGTCCTTAGGTCCCTTGCTGGTTTACATAGGCACAGGCTGCAACAGGCTGGGGGAGACTGACCCTGAGACCCCTGTACAACATACTGGGATACAGGAGGCAGTGGCAGTGGGATTGGCCTAATCTTTAACCTTCATATGGTATGAGTGGATGCCTGCCAGTGATGTGTAGGGCTGGTCAATCCCTGGTTCCCCAGATGGCATGCCTGGACAGTAGCTCAGTTGAAGTAGACAGGGTGAAACTCCCCAGGCCTACACATAGTATATACAGGTGTTAATGGGGGATCAAGGGGGCCTCAAGTTGTTGGATGGCTCCTGAGCAGGTCTGTGCCCAACCCCTTTGAATGCACACGCAGATGCACAGTGGCTCTGCTGCCAGGGTGGGAAGAGTGGGCTTAATGCACTAGCAGAGCCCCAAGCTGGGAGTTTCCAGGCTCTGTGGACTATGTACTTTGGTCCCCTGCTCCTGGGAGCAGCCTCCCTGGTATCCTGCAGTGCTCATTCCCTAGTCTGCAGGGCACTGTGTAGGCTAGAGTGCTGGGGACCCTATCAGCATTATAATGTTTGATATTCTGAATGGACATGGGAGGATGTAAGCTGGACTCCAATGATGTGGAGATGCTGGGGCTGCTGGGGCATAGGGCAGGATGCAGGCTGGTGGGGTCTGGGCTACCCAAATTAAGCCATGCTGCAGCTACTTAGGTCTCAGGAGATATGTGGGGCTCAGCATGAACTCCCTCTCTGTAATGATAATGTCCACAGACTCCAGGAAGTTTCTAGATGAGCTGACGGGCTTGCC